AACTCTGGGCGACCTCACGTCGTCTTACCCACTGGAGAAACACCGAGGAAAAACGCCCGATCGCGGCTTCGGATTCTGGTCCATATTTAGTAAACCTCATACTGCCGGTGAATGGTTGCAAAATCCAGAAATCGCACTACCGGTCAGAAACCCTGGTTTCGGATTCGATTCACCAAAGTAAGTATCAACAAGCAATGGTTTTCACCATGCTTTCATCTTGTGGCGCGACCAGAATTTGTCCATCAATTTGATTCAGCTGAAACCTCTTTGTTGGTCGATAGGCTCAGGCTGATACCATCTGGGCGTACTTTTGTTGGAGACAAAAGAGACGGACAAATGCTGAACCAGCAAAAACGGCGCGTACATTTTTCTAGCAAAGGGAAAAAAGGGAGAACGGACAAATCTAAAATTTCCTGACCTCCAGTACTACTTCCATAAAGGAAAAGCCCGGGTATCCCCAACAGCCCAAAGGGCACCTCCCGGAACCGAATCTCTGGAAGCCTCTCTGAAAGCTGCTCACCAGCACCCCTAGCTTTCGGCGCACCGGGAGACCCCCAGTTTAGCCACGGGAAAATTACCAAAGGCACGAGGGTGGCCTGGTTTCAAAGGGGACTACCTCCAACAAGCCCAGGAATCCCCAGCTCTGTACCACCCTGGAGCCTTTCTGGGCAGAGACTCCATGCTCTCCAGTAGAGAGGTTAGAATAAGGGTGAAACTTTTTTTCAGGATGTCTATTTTTGAAGGGAAACCCTCCCAACCAAAAAAGTTGGTGAGAAAGGGCACCTAGCTGGGAGACCTAGCCATAGCTTTCAGCTGTACCTGGAGTTTCCATGATCCAAATAAAAAATGGGTCAATGACCAACCATGATTTTGGGTAATGGCCAACCATTTTTAAAGGGTCAGAAGGAGACTCCAGGTACTAAAGCTGCCTTCCTCAAAAAAAAGTAAAGTCGAGGACCAGAGGAAGGGCACTGGGGGACTACTCTGGGGGACCTAGCCATAGCTTTCAGCTGGGGAAACCAACTCCACCCAAGGCGCGAGCAGCGCCAGCCCCAAGGGCCATTGCACTGCCGGGCATGCGCTCAGCACCTCAAGATTTCTCTCGGGAGAGGGTTCCAGGCTCCTAACCGGTTCAAACGGGTGGTGCGTCTTCTTGTTGAACCCACCAAGTTGTGGTTCTCCTTTCTAGGGGTTGATTCCCAGTAGTGTCCTTTTGCCCCTTTTTTGGAAAGAGATTTCCCCATTATTTTAGGGGTTGATTCCTTGTCCATTCTTTTCAACCATCGTTCTGTTCAAAATAGGATCTGTTTCCCCTGGGGTTCTGATGATTTTCTGGAAAGATTCGAAAGAATGGGGAAGGTACCCCTAGATGTATCCCTTTGTTTAATCACCAAAAGGCCGCCCTCCAAAAACGACACGCCCAGGGCACACGGGATAAACATGTTGTTGAAATGTCTTGTAGTACATGCAACAACTGCAGCATCAAGCATATATGTTATCAAGAAAAAAAAAAAAAAAAACACGCACCCAATCCTCCATTTGTTTAAGTCCCCTGGAAAAAATCCAATAGTGATAGATTCCCTATATAACCAACAACGAAAAGAAAAAAACATATTCTTAAGCAAATGGAAGCAAATGCGCTTTTTCAAGGAGTGAATGTAAGGTCGTGCTACCCAATCTGAGACAGTTTTCACATACCATGTTAAACCTCATTACATTATGCAAGTTATTGTTCTCCGGGCTTCTCCGTTGTTTCAACCTCTTCCCCGTCAAAGGATATTTACCATGGGGGGTTCCAATGGTTTGGTTGGTGCTCTATTGCAGCGGCTTGCAGGAGCCTTTCAATATGTGCTGGCGACTTGTTTAAGTTAATTGATGGGTTTTCAGGGGTGCTCTCAATGTTTTTGGGTTGTTTTATCTAGTTGTGTGGTGAACTGAAAGGATAAACGGAGTTCTCCGCTTTGATATTGGGTGAACCCCTGCATCTTCCACAAGTGTCTGGGCGTTTCCTCAGTGTTTCCCCCAGACCCTCCGCGGAAAGGGCCGCTTCTTTTGCGGTTGTCCATATTGAAGGGAACCACTCCACACACAAGGAAAACAGGGCACCACTGAGTGTATGTTTCCTGAAAGCAGGTGGCCAAGTTGTCTCCAACTTGATTTGGGGGCGCCGCGGAAGAACCGTAGGACCCCTAGCTGAAAACGCCGGTGACAGGAATGCGCCGCTCCGAGACTCGATGCTTTTCTGGAAGACATCGCTCCGAGACATGTACGCGTAACCCCGCCTCCCACACATCTGGCCAAATGTTTCCCAGATCCCCCGCTGAAAGTGAATAACTTCTAGCGGCTTAAATGGAAACTACCACTAAACACTAAACAGCTAAGGAACCGGATGGCTGGGAGCCAACAAGAATTCCCAAATTGGCAAACAACAACTCAAGCAAGGAATGAGTGATCTGCCTGCACCAAGTGAGATCTGTTTTTTTCTTCTGCAGATCTATGATTCAGACAACAACGCACATATTTACTCCTGATCAACATGTAACCCACCACGCTGTGCTAAAGGGATGGACCCCCTCCTTCAGGGGTTCCATTTTCATCTGGGGCGCACGCCTTCCCAAAGCGTTGGAACCAGTGGGACACTGAATCCACTTCGATACAACCCAACGGGCCTAAGCCCAAAAACGAACAGACTAACCCCCCATACAAATTTGGGGAGATTCTGAGAAGTATCACAGAAGTGGGGGAGTCACCCCTCCTTGGTTTGGCCACTTGGTCTCACCAGGAATTGGGGTTCAAATCCCCAAAGCACCGATCAACACCACCAACAAACGGATACCAAAACCAGATGTGGGGGGAAGACCAGAGAGTCCCAGAACAGGAACCTCCATAGATCTAGGGGTACCTTCCATTTCCATTCTTTCCAGGGATCCGAATCTTTTCAGGAAACCATCCAAAATCCAGGTTGGAAAAAGATCCGGTTGAAAACAACGGATGGTTAAAAAGAACGGACAGGAATCAACGCCTAGAATCCAGAGCGTCCCATACGAAGCTCCCCCAGAAAGTGGATCCCAGTAAGGGAGACACCCACGAGACTTCTTTCCAGCCCTGGGTCTCCGAGAAAGAAACTCCTTTCTTTCGGCCAGGTCGCGGCCCTGTAGCTGATCTCATCCTGAGCTCGGAACATTTTATTATTATTATTATTAGTGCTATTATTATTAGTGCTATTATTATTATTAGCATTATTATTATTATTATCATTATTATAATTATGATTATAATTATTATAATTATTATTATAATTATAATTATTATAATAATAATACGAATTAGTATTATTATTATTACTATTATTATTATTTGTAGTATCATTATCATTATTATTGTTATTATTATTATCAGTATTGTTTTTATTATTATTACTATTACTATTATTATTATTATCTTTATTAGTATTATTATTATTATCATTATTATCATTATTATTCATTTTTATAATTATTATTATTAGTATTATTATTATTTATTATTATTATTATCGTCATCATCATTATCATTATTATTATTATTACTATTATTTATTGATTTTTAGTTGTTATTATTATTGTTGTACCCTTTTTTCAGTTTTGTCTATTTTAGTAGGGTTCGGAACCCTCCCAACCAAAAAAGGGGTGAGAAAGGGCACCTAGCTTAAAGTCCAGCTCGGGACGTGAGATTCGGAGCCTTTCAACTTGTGATCTATTCGAACGAAATTTACACAACACTCGCCCCCTTGGGTCGCCCGTAAAAAAAAAGAAAGAAAGGGGGAGCTAGTTGACTCGACCGCAAGAATCTGCACTTCCTAAACCCCTCAGTGGATTTCCATGGGAAAATGTACACGCTGCCTTTTTGTTGGTTGATCTTGAAGTCATGAGGCCCAGGCCTTATTTGAGTCATACTCAAAACCGATTCGGGATTAAAACAGTCGATCCCCAGCACCATGCTTCAAGAACTTACCAAGGCGAATGGAGATCCGCGGCGATTTGTGGTTGGGATTGTCCCTGAACCTTCATCTACCCGAATCGGTTTTGAGCAGGTGGCTCATTTGGGCTCCCTCCCCCCATCCCTCCCCTGGCCCCCCCCGAAGGGAAGATCGAAGGCACAGCTCTGATCTTTCTCACCACAAAAACCCGCCGGCTGCGTCAGGCATCCATACATCACCTTCTCCCCTGAGCTCGCTCCGACCCGGCAAACGCAAACATTGCGCAGGATTCCATCTCCGACCCCCCGCGGCGACCAAATTTTTCGAGGCTTCGGGCCACGCCGAGAAAAAAGCGACCGCCGAAGGCCGTCCCTTCGAGTTCCGGGGCCCCCGAAATTTATGCGGCGGAGCCGAAGGCGCCGAGGAGAAGACCAAAGCCCCTAAATGAGACGAGAGCTGCTGGTTTCTGACTGACCAAATCGACCCCAAATCGCTCAGAGCGGCCATAACCACTGGAAAAAACTGGAGAGTCTGAGAACAAGCGTCTTCAGAACCAACTGGAGCGGGTGCGACATCGAGAAAAAGGGGGGGCAGTCAAATACGCCCTCTAGGTCCTCCAGTAGAGAGGTTAGAACTAATAAGGGTACCCTTTTGTCTGTAGTCTATTTTAATGGGGGAACCCCAAAAGGAAAGCAAAAGGCACTGCTGGGGAACCTAGTAATTGTCTTCAAAACTAATTGAGCGGGTGCGACTTCTTCGAGAAAGGGGGTGCATTCAAATACCCTCTTTGCCTGACAAAATACACACTCGGCCGACAGGCGCCGCTCGCATCTTTCTTCCCCATAGTGGAGATGGTACTCCTTAGAGAGGAGATGGATCTCCTTGCTCTGCACCTAAGGCCCACATACGGTGGATCGGTGGATTCCCAAACGATTCTATTCGACCACATCAGACATGAAACTCAATGGTGGATTTAGGACTTCCCTGAATATTCTATGTGAATCAACCACATCAGACATGAAATTCAATGGTAGATTTCTGGGGGGCTGTTTGTGTTCCCCTTGAAACATTAAGGGCATCCACCGCAAGGCCATAAATTTTGGCGCGGGGGGAAAGGCCCCGGGAAGGATCGCCCTGTACACTGTACACCTCCTGACGTGCATTTAATTTGGATTCGCTGCCCGGTTCCTTTTTTTTTCCGGTGCCGGCAAAGTCGGATCAGCTAGACATGGGCAAGCGAAACCCAAACTTGTGTCTCAAAATGGGTGAAGCCTATTGGCTTTGCTAAGCCTCGAATGCCAGGTCCAGCTGCCGTTGGCGAAGCTTTCGCAGCCTCCAGGGGCCAAAGGGCAAGTCCTTGCTCAAGCATCTGAAATGTATGCGAATGAAACACCCTCGCCTGTGTTGTTTAATTTCACACTGATTGTTGCAAAACACCCAATGCGCTTTCTGTGAAACGATACAAGTCTTCAAACACATTCTCATTTTAACATCATCTTGGACAAGGGCCTCGCAAGACCCCTTTTTAGGGTGTCGTTGTCAATACTCAACGGGGCTCAAGCAATTAGATTGAAGTTGCGATGAGTTGCCGGGTACCTTAAAAGGATATTAAGGCAGAGTCATAAAGGCTGAATGTTAGCAACTGCCATTCCCCTGAGGTTCATATTATGCTTAATGTTGTCTTAGCAAGGCCTATGAAGTCCCTCACCGAAAGTCGGGTCTCTTGAATGGCCAAGTAAATCGGTCAAACATCCTTTGTGTTTGTTATTATTCGCCAATGTTTGCCAATGCCGCTCAACAATTTATCCAACATGGCTATTTAGGTTTCTCTACAAATATTGGTACGGTAGCCCCTGTAACTGTAAACATAAACAGAACCAAACAACTGAAAATACGAAACGCATGATCCCAGAGCAGTGAAGGTTTATATAGGATACTGCCTGGCACTCTCTAATGTTGTCCCCAGATTCATAAGCCCCTGTTTATTAATATGGGGGTGTCGCTGGTTTTAGTGGAGATGCATCACTTTTGTAGGGGAATACCCCCCATAGTGATAAGCAGGAGTTTCTTAATCTGGGATCAATAATATAGTCATAGTCCTCGATTCAGGTCTTAAAAACCGTAGTGTATTCATTGGTAAAGGTAACCAAGGGAACTACTGTCTAAAAGCCGAAAGGAAAAACATGATCCGGGAACCTTGGTTGCTGTTGGCCCCCCTGCGAGAAGTTTAACTTTTTGGGGGTTCAGTGGGAAACACCTCTATTTCCCGATAAGTTAAAGTCCAAAGATCCAACCCAATAGCAGTGAAGGAACGGGACTTTCTATGGCTCAACTGTTGCCCAAGCCTGGCCTGCGTACCTCCGCGCTGCGCTGCGCCCCCGGCCGCGCTTGCCGAGCATCGTATGCACACTGCCGGCGTCGGTGAAGAGGCGCAGAGGCGCGCAGACAATCCTCGGCGAAGCGTTTTTTGCCCCCACCCCTCCCGCCCGAAAAACTTGGACTGTTGGACTGTTTGGACTGGTTGGACTGTTTTGGGCTGTTTGGACTGTTTTGGGCTGTTTGGACTGTTTGGTTTGGACTGTTGGCTTGTTTGGTTTGGACTGGTTGTTTTCTTGTTTTCTTGGACTGGCTGCTCAAGTGAGTCACAATGAAAACCTGTTCTTAACATGGTCTACCCAAATCCTCGTAAGGAAATTAACAGGCGGCCGCAACTATTTCTGGCTGGGACTAGCCCTTAGCCTTCACCTACCTGGGTTTTGACATGTTTTGACTGTGGCTCAAGTGCACTTCGATTGAGGAAGGGTAGGTAGGCAGGCAGGCTGGCTGGCTGGCTGGCAGGTGAGCAACAAACAAACGACCCACGCGATACAATTGCTTTGTTGGGTGCGGTGTGCCATAGAATTGTCCAAACCTCACTCAGGCATGCCTCAAAGTGAACGCTTGTTTCAATGAACAGTGACCGGCGGGTCTCTTGGTGTTTGCAAAAAAGCAAAAAAGGGTGAAACAGGGCGACACAGGTCAAAAGACGCTGCAAACAAATGGCGTGTGATGCCTTGCATGCATGAAGTGGCTCTTGTCAGACACTTAACTTATTGTCTTGGGTGGGGGTGGGGTGGGGGGGGGGGGGGCACTTTAGTCGCTCTCAAAGTTTGGCAAAGGGAACTCATGTTAAAGTAGTATTCTCTTGGTACACCCTTTAGTATTCCCTCAGTGTTCCCCTAGAAGTCCCTCAATACTCCTCCAGCATTGCCGTAGTAAATTCCTAGTATTCTCCAGTATTCACCCTTAGTCTACGCCCAGTATTTCCCTGGTAGTCCCCTGTTAGAATCAGAAAGGCGGAAATCAGAAAGGCGGAATGCCGCCGCTCCATTTGCGTCTTCGCCCCCTGGAAAAAATGGTGAACATATGTCCAATAGTGACAGATTCCTTTTAAAACCAAAGAAAATAACACCCAGATTGATTTCAAATGAAATCTTACGGCTCACCTCTTGCCCAAGCCTGGCCTCACCCATATCAGCTTCCCTCCAATTGGTGGTTTGCATTGGTGATTTGGTGGTTGGGCAGGATCTCCCTCAAACCACCAATGCAAACCACCAAGTAGGCGTTGCCTGACCATAGAGACCCCGAGAATCCCGAAAAATCAAAACGGATGCCGAGGCTTCCATTTGGTTAAGACCCCCGGGAAAAAAATACAAATAAAACATACTTCCAGTAGTGAAATCGATTTCCTTGGAAAACCAACAAGAAAAATAAAAAAAAAAAAATAAAAATATTCTTAAGCAAATGGAAGGAGGCATGACGAGGAGCCCCATCCTTTTGCCAGACCTTCTCCTCGCTCCAGCGCAGAGGCCTTGCGCGGTAGCGATCCATCTGCCGGCTCTGGCGCTGCGAGGCATAGGCGCGCCACGGCTTCTGCGGCACGCGGGGGTAATACTTCGCCAAGGCGTCCTGGCAGGAAGTTCTCAGCAGATGTGTTGGTCCAAATGCAACCATGTGGCTGTGGGTCAGAACCAGCGGTACCATTTTGGGGTAGGTGCACCACCCATTTTAGTCTATTTCAGTGGGGATTGGGATGTTCACTGGCGGTACGGGCTTTTGGCCCACGGCCATGTGGCTTGGATTGATGCTTTGGGGCTTTGAACCCCTGGTTCTTTTGAGAGGAGTCCAATGGCGGGCCCAAAAGTGACTAACTTGTGGGTTGAATGGACCTCCCAAACACTAAAACGCTCCAAGCCCAAGCAGATGTCTAGGTCCCAAGGCAACCATGACTCACTAACTCTCCAAAGGAGACTTGGCCAAGGCAAACACGTGCAAACATACTGTGGATGCACGAACTCCAGTTTGCACCACCTCAGAACCCCTGGAATGAGGATTCCCTTGCAAATACCCACAAACGTTATGGTTTCAGCCATGGTTTTCAAGTGGTGCGAAATGGATTTGGTCCATCCACAGTATGATGTTGTATGCGCGTGGAGGTGCGGAGCTGGATTTACGGCCCAGAACCGACCGCCAACAGCAGCCTCCCAACTGAGTCACTAAAAGGCGCTCATGTGTGAAGATTGCATACCACTTGAGGGTAAATACTGTGGCAATCCTCTTATAGTGGTATCCTGGTTCCAACTGGACCTCCAAACTAAACATAGAGCTGACCGACGAACCACAAATCCGAAACTTGGCTGCAAGGATCAGCTTGAAGCTGTCTGGGAGGCGTTGAGGGGATCTTCAACATTGCAAAAAGGCGCAAGCTCACGGTGAATTGGCAAACAGGCGATGTGTGATGTTATCAGAGCATGTGATCCGATCCCGCGCCCACAAAAGGGGAAAAGACTAGTTACAAGCTGGTGGATCAAACACCATGATCTTCCGAAAATGAAAAATCTCGCGTTCGGAAGCTTCCCTCAGGCTCCACATCACTTTTATATGCGTGGGCCCTCAAAATGGCTCTTTCCGAGTTGTTCTTTTTGGGGGGGCCTCGGGTCATCGAGCCCGAAATTCTGCCTAGGGCTCGAGAGCCTTGGCTGCGGCTCCCGAAAAGTCGGCATCCACGCCCGCGGCCTCTTCTTCCGGGTCGGAGAAGGTGAAGTCGTAGTCCACCACCTGGAAACCCTCCGGGTTCAGCCTCCGTTTGCTGCTTCGCCCCCCTGGAAAAAGGAAGCATATCTCCAAGAGTGACAGATGTCCTGGAAAAAACCCGACAGGAGAAAAGGAAAAACCGATTCTTGAGCAAACGGAAGTCAGCGTCGATGATTCTCAGGGCTGTCATTGAGCCAACGTGTGCAATGTATGACCCATTTCACTTGCCAGCACACCTTGTGAGCTTCACTTTCCACCTGAAACCATTGACAAATATATCCTGCTAAAGAGACGATCCGCTCATCCACACTTTGCTCGAGGAGGAAAAAACAACGACGGCGCTGGGTAGCAGGGATCCTTGCATACACCTGGTCGCAAAATGGAGATCTTTTAAGGAGCCCTGGCGTTTTGGCGTATCGCCTCAGCCACAACCTTGCGCTCCGACTTCTTCCATCTGATCTCCGGCAGTTTCTCCACCAAGGCTGGGGGGGCCGTGGAAGCTGGCACCGCTACGGGCTCCGGCCTGAGTTGTGTTGGCCGAAACGGAACTGGCTGGGTGATACTCTTACCCCTTAAAACTCCAAGCCCTGGGGAAGTTCATCTTTTACATACATATAGCCCATGTTACCCAAAAAGTTGAAAAATTGTGTTTTTAAGAGGTAAGTCCTGTGGATGGTGGCGAAATCCAGAAATCGCACCACCTAAGAAACCCTGGAATGAACCGATTTCCGTGCCAATACCGACAAACATGGGGTTCCCATGGTTTCAAAGTGGTGCAGGATTTTGACCATCCACAATATTGATCACCCAAACCTTTGCACTCTGCCAAACAAGTGCAAGAAAACGAAGCAGAGCCTACACGTCAACAAAAGCTAGAACAAGTACCATGAGTCTCCATGACCCTATGGAAATCGGGTTACCCCTTTCTTTTGGGTAATGAATGACCAGCCATTGTTTAAGGGATAGAAGGAGGAGACTCCAGCACGAAATGCATGACTGCACACCAACCAAGAACAACAAATGGGTATGGGTCAAAATTACATCACCAGGGGACCGCAGGTTTTGGTCCATGTTTCCATCTACCAGGATTCCATTTCGGGTACCTATTTTTGACCCACAGCCAAAGACAGCTTGCCAATCGGCAAAGGCTTGAGGGGGGAGGGCACCGGTGCAGAGGCCAGCCAGAGGTAGAATTGCAGAGTGGTGAGCAGGCGCTCCTGCGACAGAACCCCATGGTCCAAATTTGTTTTGGGGCTCCCTTGACTTACACCAACCAAACAAGGGTCTCAACTCACTGGCTGAGTGGATGGCCCAAAAAAAGTCCAAACTTTATATTTACCACTAAAATGGTCTTCCCAAAAAGTCCGCCGACATTGCTTGGCGTGTCGGACACCTAAGAGAAGATAGAGGATAACCCCCCCTAACCCACCCCCGCCTGACGCCTGATACGTGCCCCCCCCCCAAGGACCGCGCGGCAATTTGATGACGTTCCACTAAACGTAGTCTTCGAGGTCGCAAAAAAGGGGTTCCAGGCTCGATTCCCCCTGCCGGCTCTTTGCTGGTTTGGGGTTCCTGCCTCCTTTTGCAGAAACTCTGGAAAAACTCTGTGTTTTTGGACGTCCTACTTGCGAAAACGCTGGACAAACCGTGCTTTTTTGCGGGAAATATTGGGGAGCAAAGGGGAAATGCAAGGAAGTGCAAGGAAATGAGGGGAGGAAATAGGATGTCGACATGACAGGAAAGCAGCGGGACATGGAAGAGAAACAAAGGGGAACTGAAAGGGACATGGAAGGGACAGAAATGAAAACAAGGGAGTGCAGGGGGAAGGAAAGGGAAACAAAGCACAAGGAAACCAATCGGCACGACGGGAGATGTAGGGAAAAACGAAAGAACGGGACATACATGGCAAATGAAGCGGACATACCAAGAAAATGTCAGGTACATGAAGGGGGGGTTGAACGGCATGGAAGGGACAGGACCAGGACATCATGGAAAACGTGAAAAGGACATGAAGGGGGAAAGCCAGTAGTGAGATGACAGTTCAGGGTCATGCAGGGGCAGTGCCCGGACATCGAGGCAACTCAGGGGGGGACGCGACGCTGCAATGCAGAGAGAGAGAGAGAGACAGGGAGAGAGCGGGAGAGAGAGAGAGAGACAGAGAGACAGAGAGAGAGAGAGAGAGAGAGAGAGAGCGAGACACAGAGAGTGAGAAAGAGAGAGAGAGAGAGACACAGAGCCAGAGACAGAGCCAGAATCAGAGAAACAGAGAAAGAGACAGACAGAGAGAGAGAGAGAGACAGCGAGAGAGAGAAAGACAGAGACTGAGTAAGAGAGACACAGAAAGACAGAGAGAGAGAGAGAGAAAGAGCGAGAAAGTGAGAGAGTGGAGAGGTTCGAATTCGGGTACCCTTTGTCTGTAGAGGGGCGTGGACAGGAAGGAGACGGGGAGACAGAAAGAGATAGAGAAACAGAGACAGCGAGAGAGAGAGAGAGAGAGGGAGAGACAGAGAGAGGGAGATTGAGGAGAGAGAGGCTTGGGGGGATGGGGAGAATGGGGAGCAGAGGGAGGGAGAGAGGACGACACAACACACGAGGGGGAAGAGGACAATGTCGGCGGACTGAGCCGGAGGCTCTAAAGTTTAAAGTTTATGAACTCAGGAAGTGAGTCAAAACAAACATTTTCCTGCTTGGGGGTCCTTGGGGCTGCCAACTTGAGAAAGTAAGCTGATCTTGGCGACACCTCGTCGGGGCCCGATCCCAGTTGACTCAGTCCAAGGCGTGGGCCGCAACGGAAACCACGGGCTTCCAACCAAGTTGAAAGGAAGGATCGGGGCGTCCCAGGGACTTGTCCTTGTGGGAGCTCCTTCGGGGTATGAGCAATCTGGGGGCTTCCAAATGGGTATGGGTCAAAATTAAACCAGGGGACCGCAGGGTTTGGCCCATTTCTCCATTTAATTACCAGGGTTCCATTAGGGTACCCTTTTTTGACCCACAGCCAAATGTTCAAGCCCAGACCCACACATCAAAATTTGATCGATTCACTGGGCGGGTTTTCCACATGGATCGCCTTGAGATCGTCAAAGGGAAATGGAGCGGCGCGTGTCAATTGCTTCTTCAGGGTGTGACTCAGGGCCAGGCTTTGGAACCACAGCCCTCACCAAGGAAGACCCTAATTTCCATGTTCTATTTCAATCAAAGTGCCAACTGAAAGGCCGAGATGGTGAGACCTGGAAGCTCAGTAACCTGTGATGTGATTTGTTATATGCGTGTGGTTTTGGTCTCCCCCCGAAACAGACCGAGAGAGGAGAGGAAACACATGTTTGTATAGTTGTCCCGCCGGTTTGTCTTTTGTTTTGAAGCTAACCTTTCCAGGTTGGGCTAAAGCATTCTGGGTCTCCCACTTTGATACATACCCCAAATAACTCCGTGGTTGGTCATTAGTTTTCGCGCAAGCAAGCCAAAGCAAAGAAGAGAGGTGGGTGTGCATCTAGCCAGACTTCTTGCCTCACCTTTCTTGCTCTTGGAAGTCGCTTTTGGGCTGCTTCCTCCATCCGTGTTTGCCTGCAACTTGACTTTCCTACCCCCCGCCCCATCACCGAATGCTTGGGTCCAAAGCAAACGATAGGGTCTTTGGAGTAGACCAAAAGTCGCCAGCCCTTACTGTGGATGGACGAATCCTGGATCACCTAAGCAACCCTGAAATGATGATTCCCCCCTGCAAAACCAGCCCCTACTGTGGATGGACGAATCCTGCACCACCTAAGCAACCCTGAAATGATGATTCCCCCCTGCAAAATAGCAACAAACGTTCTGGTTTCAGCCATGGTTTCAAAGTGATGCGAACAAATCTCCTCCATCCCCAGAATCACCGCTCCTGCTCCACCTCCTCGTCCCCATCGTCGTCATTGTCGTCCACAAGGCCGCGGTAGTCCCAGAGCCACTCCACGCGGCTCTCATCTGCGCTGCGAAGCCACGCCGCGAAGACCACCTTCGAGCCTCCTGGGCGGCGCATCTGGGAGCAGATGCAGCCTGCCAGGGGGCCGAAAGCATCTTCGCCTTTGGGCTGCTCAGTGCTTCCAGGTACCCACTGTAGTAGTTAGCCACGGGAAAACCATCCTAGTGGTAACTGGAAGCACCCTGGGTTGGTTTAAACATCCCCTTTTGCGCGAGCTTAAGGTGAGCTTCCTTTTGGTAGGGTGATGTTACCCTGCCTGAGAGGCGAATCGAAGGGGTTGCTTCGGTCTGCCCAGCACATTTCCCGTGACAGGAGAACCCACAGAAGAACAGGAGTCGGGACAGTCGGGACTACAAAAGGGGGCTACCCCGTTGGTTTCCCCTTGGTCAGACTTGGGTGGTCCTTACAAATGCAAATGGACAGGAAAAGCGTACTGCCATGTCTTTTGTTCCATACGTTCATGCCCCAAGCAGGGAACAACTTGGAAACCCAGCAATAAAAATATCGCGATACTTGCCCAGGCTTAGACCCGCCGACACTTTGCGCTTTTTGCTGGAAGGGTAAAACTTGATGGACAGCCCGAAGGCAAAAAAGCTCACTTGCTGCTTGGATGGCCCCAAAAAAAAGTGGTCCAAACTTTTATATTTAGTGGCCCAGCCCCAAAAAGTTTAAAGCTCAACCTCGGAAGCGAGAGATATGCGCCGGGTTGCTTGTATGGGTGGCGTCGTGAAACCGATGAGCCGTTTTCGCCGTTTTCTTTCCCGTTTCCCACTTTTGCCCGGACCAAAAAGAACGTGCGGGGTCCCCTCAAGCACGTATATAAACTCCTACGACTTCTCAAAAAAAAACAACCCACCATCTTTGGAGGAACCTCATTCTGCGGGTTCCATGTCTTTCTTTAGGGAAGTAAACTCACTTGGGGGAGTCCCGGAACAACTAACAGAGAGTGGGCCTAGAAGCTATGGTACAAAGCGAATGCCTGTAAAGTTGTTTGTGAATTGTGAATCCACAGTTCCTTGGTGGCAACCGCAAACTTGCCACACGGGTGGTTTGCCTTTGCTTTTCCTTGAGACCAGCTCAAAAACTGATACCAAAAAGACGCACCCATGTCTGGAAACCACTTCCAAAGGGGGACGAGTTTCTTCTCCTAAAGCCGCATTTTCCACATGCCTCCTTTACAAATCCCCATCCAAAGGCATTCTCAGGTATGGTGTTTGGAGGTGAGGTTGTAAACAACTTGCAAATTCAGGGCGATGGTTTATTTTTGGCCCAAATATTAGCTGACACTGTGGATGGACGGAATCCTGCACCACCAAGGAACCCTTGTAAATGCCAGCAAACGTTATGGTTTCAACATGTTTCAACCATGCTTTCAAAGTGGTGCGAAATGGATTTCGTCCATCCACAGTAGTGGGGTGGGCGAGTCAAGTTGCCGTGAGGAAGCAGCCCAAAAACCCATCAGAACGCTGTGTGCCCCGGACCTCCGGGGGGTGCGCCACAGGGAAAGCAAAAGTCGCTGCCGCAACGGCAGAAGACGTGACTGCACCTGAATCTTCGACCAGCTGTCCTTTTGGGTTGATATGACCACTGGTGTTGAAGGATTGTCTGGTACATGGGCAATACAACTACAACCCATCGCACCCAACCCTGGACAACTCAGATTCTACGACGTTTTTCGTCTTTTTTAAGAACAAATAAACAATACCAGTAGAGCCGGTGGGCGGAAGTTTCTAAAAATACGTGCATCTTTATTGTCCTCTTTCTTTTTCGCGCCTTTCTTTCCTTCGTTCCCTTCTTTATTTATGTCTGTCGTTCTTCCTTCTTTATTGATTTCTTTACTCCATCTATCTACCCATTGAATTGTTTATCTTTTGACCGATTTCCCTACAATCTATCAATAATATGTATATATCTACTATCTACCTGCTGATATATTCATGAATATACCTATCTATCTACCTAATCTATCTATCTATCTATCTATCCATCTATCTATCTTAGAACCAGGGAGTCTCTTCAAGAGGCCCATTTAAAACCCGGAGGTGCGGGCTCCCAAACACCACCCGCCCCCCACAACTGCGTGGAATCTCAATATCCAGTGGCGAACCTAAAACACAGATTCGGGAAAACACCTCCCGAATATCGAGAGGGAAAAAGGGGGCGCGCGCGCCATAAACTTACGGTTGGGGACCAACTGGCTGGCAAACTACGTTTGAGTCAAGTTCACAAACTTGCGCCCTTGCCCAGGGGGGGCTTCAAAAAAGGGGTCAGCGGAAGGCGTCAGCCACCTGGAAAAGGTTTCGCATGTGACATGACTGCACACACACAATGGACAATGGAAGCGAGGCTCATTTACCGCAATCGGGGGCAATGTCCGGATCACACCCCAAAACCCCCCATGCACTTACTGGCATCTCTTTTTCAAGACACCCGTGGGTGCATCAGTATGGGGCGACCCAAGATGCACTTACCAGAGCCAGGGATAAACCAAGGGGCAGGGCCAAGTGAATCAATGCCACCGGCGGCACCCCCCCTGCGTGTGAGGATGGACAGGACATTTCAAATGGCCAACATACTCACCATTGCCAATACAAGCCTCAACCCATTGGTCCCTTGAAGGCAGATCAGCTATGTTGCTATATGAAGGGACACGCTCAAATCAGGGGTAACACATCTAAAAGGTCCTGCCGATAGAAGTGTGCGAGCATGCGCTGCATAGTCACTGTTGGCGAAGTAGATTTGATCAGGCCGTGAAGGGCGGCGTTATTATCAAGGAAAAACAAGGAAAGGCGTCCCCGCAGGAAGGCATGGGGCTGCACTCGCACACAGAGGGCGGCATACAACTCTATTTGGGAAATAAGCTGTTTGCCCACCGTCTCCAGGCAAAAGTCGACCAGGCTCTGTGGCACGAGCCCATCCAAGACAAGTTTCTTCCCACTAAGTGGGTCCAAGATTACTGCTCCTAGCGACGCGCGGCCATTCTCCCACGCAGCATCAGTGAAAATCACAACAGGCACTTCCGGCGTTCCTGCCACCAGCTTTCTGGTCGGAGTGCTCTGCAGGAGATCAACGAATGTGGCAGTCACTTCCTTCAAGAGTGCGTGGCGTGGTTTACAGGGCCGTGTTTGTACCCTAGCGCCATCAAGGCAGAGGCAGCTGGCGTGAGCTGACGTCCCAAGAAGAAATCTGAGGCAAAGTTCAACACGCCATGAACTACCTGCAGAGATTTGGTCTCCACTTCAGTCTGCGCCCAAAGCACGGAGGGCCTCTGTCAAGCGCTCGATTCTTTGCGGTTTGTTCTTGACCTCAATGACACCTCTTCCCAACTCAGCAAGAGAAAGCGTCGCCCCTAAAACGTCAAAGGATTGGGCATATGCAAGGTCTTTGTGAGAACCGACAGCATAGCGCCAACCCAAGAGGTCTAACAATTGGTGCGACAAGGCTCTCAGCTGCCCCCTGTCGCGAAGGATGGGAAGTCGTCAAAGTAAGAACAACATGGATTGAGAAGTCCTCGAGACATGACAAGCCATAAGCCCCGTGCAATCCGCAAGAATGAGTATACTGAGGCGGTCGCAGCGAAAGGCAAAGAGTTGGGGACGTAGAAGCACCAGCCACCATCTGGGTTTTTTGGACATTACCACTGACATGGACCTACTTCTCTCGGACACGGCGACCTGTTTGTAAGCTCGGGACAAGTCCAGGGTGCGGCCGAACCAACAATCGGATCGGACAGATGGGTGCACCTCGCCAGTCAAAAGTGACCCGTCTTTTCGAGTCCACCTGACCTTGCCGGACTGAACGCGCTTGGAAATTTCATGCGCAAAAGCCACGACATAATCAAGGTCCTGCAAGCGGATTTTTGAGGTTACCGTAAAGGAATCGTTCAATCCACTTGCTTTGCAGTCGTCGATGAGTCTAAGTTTAGTCTTATAACCAGATTGCTGCATGACTCCAAATCTAGGGCAGGCCAACCACTGTGATGTACCAAGCAACGAGGTGAGGTGTTCCTCCGTGAAAGGGCCCTCCAACTCGGATAGTGACACCTCCTCCGCTGTGGCTTCGTGAACTTGCGTCGCAAATTCAGTTTGCCCGGGCCGGCCTTTAAGCATCTTACGTCTCCAGACACTCTGCGACTTCAAGACCTCAGCCGTGGTGGTCTGAGGGACCACCTTTTTTTCAAAGTGATCAGGCTGCGGGTGGACTCCGGTCAGGTCCACTCCAGAGTCGATGGCGCTTAGGTCAGCAAATCCGAACTACGTCAGCAACTGCTCAAAGAGCAGGATGCGCTTCCCCTTCAAAGTTTTCTGCGTGTGAAGAGGGAGACCATCACGCAGGGCCTTTTCAGCCGGTTCAAGTCTTTTGGCGAGGACTTCAACCTGCTTTATGAACAGTCGCCTTTTCAACGACACGACTTTGGGATCTGAGGTGAGCACTGTGTACAGGACTTCCTTTGACACGTCGTCCATTGCCATCCTTTGGATGGACGGGTGCCCACATTGCATGGCTTGGTCCATGAACTCTTTGGGTGTGTGCCAATACCCCAACTTAGTGCCTACGTCATTATCCCTCACCATACTTAAGTGAACAGCGTCCTGGACCTTACCCCCCTTTAAAGCAGGACGCAGTAGTTTTGCACCTGCCGGAACTGGGGCTCCGTCGACGACTGGGACAATGCAATTGAACTCTGGCACAAGCGGGGCATGCGATCTATGTTGCAAGGCTTGCGCTGCCAAGGCATCGATCCTGCTCCAGATTGGGTCTGGACGCAGCATCGGCGCCAGCGAAGCCAAGGCAGCTGCAATACGAACACACAGGACATCTGGATACGTCCCTCCGCTGCAGTGTCAAAGGTCCACTTGTTGTCGCTCCAAGACACTCCCCAGGGCAGGTGTTCATGCTCGTGGTTGCAAGACAAAGCAAGCTGCTTAAACACATCTGGCGTGCACCAGAAGGTCGAGGCCTTTTTGCGTAGGCCGCCGTGCATGCAATTGTCAAGGTGACCCAAGTGAGTTGCTGAAGAACACTCAAGGCTTCTGGCACCTTGATGCGTGCGAGTGCCCACAGCACATTCCACAAGTGTGAGTTTTTGGGATTTTCAATGCTCACTATGCCACTGTATGACACTACCTTTGTGATGGCTCGCAGCGTCCACTCATAGAGCTGGTTTGCGGCAAGGACTCTATCCAAGTTGGGGCCACGCAGGGAAGGCTTCCCTAGAAAATTGCATTCATCCCGCAATGGCTGGGGTTCTGGCACCCCCTTGGCTTTCAGGTGTGCTGGGATGCAGCGCTCACGCGCTTTGGAGCAAGTGCCACACGGGCATGCAAAGTGTGCATAATCAGGCTTCAGACAGTCAATTAATTCATCTGCAACTTTGACATCCTTAGGATCAATCAAGTTCAAGCAAATTGGTGAAAAGGCCACGGTACGCTTGTTGGCCGCGCAATCAACCGCAACGAGATGGAAACCTGCGCCAGCAAGGGCCCGGCTCAAGTTCCCGCTACCTGAAAAGAATTCAACGGACACTGGCTCCCTTGGGGAAAGTGCCTCCAGCTCTTCATTACCTAGTCAATGGCTACAGGATGGATGCGGGCACGGCTTGCCACACTTGATCTTCCAGCAGCAATGAAACCCCCTCATGCACCTCTTACCAGCTGCACCTTTCCTTTGGTGGGCGCGGCAAATTTGCAGCCACTGGTGTTATAATAGAAGCACACTGGGCGACCATCCTCCGTTTTGGCAGAACAACCATCGGGGACCCTTCGGGCGCTTGGCGTTGGGCTCACTACGGTTCTCAGGAACGGGCCTTTTTGATGCGGTGCTTGAAGATGAGCTCGCCTGTGATGAGGGCAACGGTGACAAGTACTGAAGCACCTCAGTAGATGCACTTAGCTTCGACAGCAAGACCTCGGCTGGCTTCGGCTGACACGGTGGGGCTATTAGGTTAGACAGGAGCAACCACATCTGCTTGTCGGCCAATATGACCTGATGCATGTCAACAGGCCTGAATTCACGAACCATGGTGCCAACAAGTACGTGCGCCACTCCTCCATTGCCTCAAAGGAGATCACCCTGGCCAAGTCAAAGGCCAACGCCTTCCTCTGCCAAGCCGCCCTAAGAGGTGGTCGGCGATGAGATTGCGGCATCACCTTTTTGCACTTCGATTGCCCCTGCCAAGTCAAGCTTGACACCTGCATCATGGCGCTCGGCAAGGATCTCACAGGCTCGGGACACACACAGTTCGGGCTGGATGTACGTCACTGAGTTTCCTTCGGCCATCTGGATCACCCTGTCTGTCAAGCTCCAGCCAGGCTCTTGCTCTGGGCCAAAGATGATACCAGGGATCCTGGCCACCTGCGCATCGTGACGTGCTCTGCGCTCGGCTGTTGGCAGCCTCTTGGATGAGTTTCCAAGCGCGATTTCATGTCTGCTAAAGCAAGGGTGTGACGCCTGTAGCAGGCCGCGACCGCTGGGGCGACTTTTTCCTTCAATGTGTCACTCACAAACTTGATCAGGGCTGTCTCATCTGACGCAGTGGGGTGATAT